AGGTGATTTCGATGTTCGGTCTATATCGACGTTGCCATGTTGGTGAATTTAGCGGTAATACTCTTATAGATATAATGATCGACTTTTAAGAAATCAGACAACTTTTAAGAATCCAAGTTCTGAAAAACGGTTTCAAGAATTGTATTATTTTTTTCCAAATTTTATTGATTTTATACCTTACCTGGAAACATGAAAAATTGCAGATATATTAATTATGGTATTAAAGTTACATTCAATAATTTTAAACTTGGCAACAGCGAAGCGCATCGCAATAAATCTTGATGGAACACCTGTTTGTCTGGCTATATGACACCCTAAATAGTTCATTTTGCAAGCAGCTATCAGAGGCGGATAATAAGGTAAGTAATATTATATTTTTCTAGGATGGCATTTTGGAGACCATTTGATACGAATGATCAAGATGCATCAACTTCTGTGTTATCAATAGATAATGACAATTATGTTAATGACAGCCCCGAATTAAAAAATAAAGATTTGCACGTACAATCCCAAAGAATAGTTTTAAATATGTATGAGTGTTTGAAAAAAGAAAATATTTTGATGGCTGATAATGCAATTGTTTCGAGAATTCATGTATTAACAAAAATCGGGTATAAGACGATATATACAATTATTAAATTAGGCATTGTTACAGATCATTCCTTAAAACGAAAGCGACCAAATAAAAAATTGGGTAGGATTGACACTGCTGCAAAAGACGTTATTCAGCGAACAGTTTACAATTTTTACAAAGAAAATAGAGTGCCTACTTTAGAACTGATTCGTGAAAAATTGAGAGATTTCCCTGAATATAATTATACATCTTTGGAAACACTGCGCGAGATTTTGATAAGTTGTGGATTTAAATATAAGAAATTAGATAATCGAATGGTAATAATGGAATCTCGGCGTATTGTTGAACTTCGACGAGAGTATTTGAGTAAAATAAAACAGTATCGTAATTCAAACAGAAACATAATCTATTTAGATGAAACCTGGTTCGATACGCATGATGTTGTCAAGTACGGCTGGGTTGACAACACAAACAAGTGTGCATTAAATACACCCTGTTCACGAGGAAAACGTGTTATTATTCTTCATGCCGGAAGCAAAGATGGTTTTGTATCTAATGCATTGCTATTGTCGGCCAAAAATATAACAAAGTCTTCTGCCGATTATCACGAAGATATGACAGCCGATTTATTTGAAAAGTGGTTTGTTGAACAACTCTTGCCCAATATTCCGCCGAATTCAGTGATTGTTATGGATAATGCGTCGTATCATTCCTGCATATTAAATAAAATACCTAATAATAACACGAAAAAGGACGAAATTTTAAAATTTATGGAACTTAAAAATATCACTGTTCCTAAAAAGATTCCAGTAAAAAAAGAATTAATTAGAATGATCAAAAGTCGGAATTTCAAAAACGAATACGTTATTGACACCATTTGCAGCAGGCACGGCCATACTCTTTTGCGATTACCTCCATACTATTGCATTTTTAATCCAATTGAAATGGTTTGGGGTACCGTAAAAAAACGATTGCGAAAATATAATCAGTCACCAACATTAAGCGCAGTGGCCATTGAGAATATTCGAGAAGTAATTAGTGGCATTAATAGCGATGTGTGGAAAAGTTGCGAAGCTCATGTTGTAAAAATAGAAAATGAATATCCTGTTTTACCGGCAATAGCACCAATAGTTATACAACCTGGGAACGATTCGACTTCAGAAGACTCTGACGATTCTTTTTAGTCCTTCTAATTAATTTCTTTACAGCTATCGCGATGCATCTTGAACACTAGTATTCATTATTATACAGTGTGTCGCATTTAAGATGAAGACACCTCTATATATCAGCTATCAAAATACATACAGATTAGAAATTTTGCAGTCATACATGTTGATAGTGCACATATTTTTAAGATAGTTAGTTATCTGAAATTTAAATTTTAAACGCGGCTTACTGCGAATCCACAAACAGGGTAAATTTTCGATATTTTGCTTCGCGTTAGAGAAATCGGAAAAACTTATTTGGAAAAGTTATTCCACTTATTGTAACCGCACATTCCAAAATTCATGACAAAATTCGCAATTTTAGTTTTTCAGTATTATTTGTAATCTCGATCCTAAATCTACAATTGGCTGTCTAAAGATGCATCTCGGGACAGCCAACTGTCCGTTTTAGAATCCTGACTACAATTGAAGAGCTTATTTCCAAAGTGTCTTAAATCCATATAATGAAATCCATGAAATTACAGATTTTCATACAAATTTAACATACAAATTATACAATTTTACAATTTTCATATGCACTTTTAAATGGCAAATAAGAAGTTGTTTTGGTACATATAACTTTATTTTAGACTTGAAGAAATCTATAAAGTTTAAAAAAAGAAAATTAAAAAAATCGAAATTTTGGATTTAAGACACTGGAAATAAGCTCTTCAATTATTGAAAAAAGTAAAAGTGCGAATTTTGACATAAAACTTTGTTATGTGGGGTTATAATAATATTTGGAACATCTTTTCCAAATAACTTTTTCCGATATCTCTAACTCGAAGCAAAATATTGAAGATTCACCCTGTTTGTGCATTAACAGTAGGCCGTGTTTAAAAATTAAATTTCAGTTGATTATCTTAAAAAATGTGAATTGACAACCTGTATGACTGTGCAAAATTTCAAATTGGTATTTATTCTAATAGCCGAAATATAGGGGTATCTTCATCTTAAATGCGACACACTGTATAGAGTCAGAACAAAAAAAAAACAAAAAACAAAAAAAAATATAAAAACAAAAAAAAAAAAAAATAATAAAAACAAAATGAAAAAAAAACTAACTTTATATTCTTACTAACATACCTAACCCTTTCCTTTCCTGGCAAGGAAGGCTCATACCTCCTCGTGGTCCTTGCTGGACAGACAATATTTTGAGATTTTCTGTCCTTGCTGGATAGACAATCTTTTAAAATTTTCTGACAGAATGAACCATTATTTACAGATAATTGTAAAAAAATATTATGGTTTATGTAAAAACTAAATAATAAGTCCAATATTCTTATAAATCACTAAAATTAACAAGCTTTAATTTGAAAGAATTAATTTGTTATTTATTAGATGTTGTGAGCCCGCTCACATTTGAAAAAAAAAACTGATTCTGTCCTTTGAAGATTCCTATTCAAAAATACCGCGTTTAAACAAATCGAAGGTTGAAGGGTGCCGGACATTTTTGCCGGAAACAATTCAAATTCAAAAGATCTCCTTTTTCTGCTACGGAAAATATTACCCCAATTTCTCACCAAAATCAATGTCGAGACTTTAGTTTAAATACTCTTGAATCTCAAAAATACTCATTTACATATTTTTCAAGCCTCGAAAATGCATATTAGGTATCGCATTTTTCGGATTTTAAATCGCCTATATCTCCAAAACTATTAACTTTTGAGAAAAATGACATAGATCTTATTTAGAGTCACCCAAAAACCTAAAAAATATTTTTTGGAGCACAAAAGGTGATATTTTGAATTTGTTTAAAAAATTGTTCTGTAAAAAAAATTTTCCTGAATATAATTATGTAAAAATTAATAAAAATTATGATTTTTCTTGAAATATGCGTTTGATGAACTGATCCCTTTTCTTAATTTCCACGCCAATGGTCGGCATTTGCATCAAAGAAGCTCAAAAGCCGCCACTTGGAAAATTGACTTTGGAAAAAGTATACAATATAAGTTTAAAGTAGCATTTAATAAAAAAGTTATTGGCATTGAAATTTTTTCGTCTCAGTGTTCCTATCACTCCCCTATCTGCTGTGATATGTATGCACGTATTTGGGGGTTTCTAAGGGATCGAGATATATCCTGCTATATAGGTTTAGTTGGCTTTATTGATTTCTTTAATTTCTTTTTGTATTTTGGAGCAGAGTCTAGTTCAAGAATTATTGTTGAAAATATTGTTTCGAAATTGGTGGTTTATTAAGATGTAATCTACTTGATTCCAAACTATTATACTGTTTTGTCAATCTCGAGGGGATTTTAACGTGCACAGACGCCTTTCTGAAAGTTGAAAACAGCTATTTGTAATGACGTAGTCATTTTCTTGGCAAACTTGGATTAAACGTTCACCTCTTTGATTTTTCTCGCGGAAGCTAAATTTTCCGCTGATGTTTTGTGTTATCTTCTTTCAAACTTAAGCGTTAAAGTTTTTCATAACTATTGTTGTTTCATGGTTTTTTTTGTATTTTTAGCACTTCTATTTTCTGCTAATCTGCGTCAGCAGTACGAGCATAAAACTGGATTATATTTACAGGTTTTGCATTCAGCTGTGCTAAAATTACCTCTTTGATATTGGAATAAATGTAGTGATATACTTACTAATACGCTGTTTCATGATGATTGACAGTCAGTTTCGATGCATATGTATCGGTTTTCAGAAAAATAAACGGCGTATCCGTTTGCTATAAAATTCCCTGTATTTGGCCACTTTGTGTCACTCAATTTATTTTGTTTCATGATAGTTATATTTAGTTTGTCTATTTCAGAGAGTAGATTTCTTCATTTACATCTTCCCTGTTCACAGGGACTTCGCTTACCTACTACATCTCTCTTATTTTTTTGATTGTAATCGAGTATTTTTTGGCGTAGTCACTCGTTTTCCTACCTGTAAATATGTTTCATCTATTTATCTTTTTTATCTTGATCTTTATTTTCCCTTATTTCCGAGAATTTTTACAGAAATTCCAAATAGAAAGAGTGGTCAGTGCTGTATATTGCCAAAATTGTCCCAAAACCCAGCAAATTCTAAACTTCAATTATTTCTAAAATTACAGATTGTTTCAAAGACATTTACTGCTCAACCTCATTCTCAACATAGCAGTAAAATACAATCCGACAATTTATGTAAAATGGTTACTTGGTCACTGCGTTTCAAAAAACGATTTTTAAAACATTTCAAAAAGAAAAGTTGTATTAAAAAAACCAAACAAATAAAAATTTACTCACTCCGTGTATAACTGGCGAAAAATTATGATTTTCCAGTGGTTTCTGTGCATCACTTTGAAGTATGTCAAACGCAAATGGAAACAGAAGATCTCCGAAGAAATCTGTACTCTCTCTAGGTATTTGCGTTGGCATATTGTCGATGCTGCATACTAAAACTCCTGGACCGTTAAAACTGTTGGTGTCCTTGTTTCTATCGGCGTCATAAAGACAGAATGGCGTGTCTATGGTTGTACATTCGTTCATGAATTCAATGGAACCACCTAGAAAATATTAATTTTACATTACAGTACACAGTGTTCAGGAAGTGTATAGTTTAAAATGGTTAAGTTATAAAAGAAATGGATATTAAAAACATACAAATACATTTTTAATCAGTTTAGTTATGCAGTGAAATTCTTAACTTTTCTATTAAACAATACACATATGGTATGGAAACACACAGAAACGTTATCAGCATGAAATTAATTTGCACTATCAAGAGCAGTATATGAATAGTAAACTTTTTAGCAGTACCTCTCCATTTTCAAAAGTACGGCCTGAACAGGATCCAGTTTCATGGTTTGTCAATAACTGAGTCTGCTTTTTTTGTTTGTTACTGATAAATTCCGCCTTCCAGCAGAGTTCCGCATCCCAGAAGAAGGCTAACGAATTGTGGGTTTCGCCTGATACACGGAGTAAACCCTCCTTAGTTTCTACTTGTTTCTGCTTACCCCACAGAATAAGCAACCATGATTTTTTACACTAATTACTAGTCTCCCACGGATTAATTCACCCGGCACAAATCGGAGAAGTTAAGATATAACGAGTGGTTCATATGATTTTGACTTAAAGCAACTAAAGGTTAATATAAGATCAAACAAAAATCATTCAAAAAACATTGTGTTACAAGATGTTCATCTACGTTATTAAAAAATAACATTAGGTACAAGTTATATTGAAAGTAAAGGAAATTATATGAAGATCAATACGAAAGACAATATCTATCTATATTCCTGGTTAAATATATGCGCGAATTGCTCAAAAAAACCAATAACTATAACCATTTATTTTGATCAGCAGTATCAAATTGATCTTTATTATTTCTAACTTTCATTCTATACTTGAAACATACACCACTAAGTTTTTATCTATTACTAAAGAAATTGTTGAAAACTATCCACGTTTTAATCAACAAGCAATAATATAGACGTCAAATATTTTTATACACAACAATCAAAGAATATATATCCATGTAACTACTAATAAAGCAATTAAACTTAACCAAAATATAAATATAAACACTTATAAACTGCGCTGATTGATATTTTGTTCCTTTAAATTTGTCGTATTTGCAGGTGTATGAAGTATTGCATAATATATAGGTAGAAATCATGTAGAAATATATTTTTTATCAGCTTGTAGTTTTGTCAGCTCGTCCATAATAAAAATCGTAAAAAAAGCTAACATAAATGAGTGTTATTTTCAAATTCTTGTCATCTTATTTTTTTTATCCCAAAAAATAGCGCCCTCTAGCCGGCTTTAAGTCCGACCTCTAGGATAATAGAACTCTGTGATAAAACCATACCTTGGGGCCTGAATAAAGTCATATATGAATAAGTATAAACTCCAGAAATTTAAAATCGCGGATTTGAATCCCCGTTTTTTTGTTATAATGATTCAAATTTTAAGTAATTATTATTATATACGATTAAGATAAGAAAGTTACAGTATCTCGGCCACGTTATGAGAGGGGATAAATATGTGTTGCTACCATCCAGCAATAAGACAAAAGAGGGAATGTAAAGGTAGAAGGGGTAAACATATTGATAGACAGGAAGTGCCATCTTGAGAGGCCACTTTAGACAAGGATAGACTGTCTCTTTCCTTGTTTAAGAAGTCAAATTTAGTTTGGTTATGTTATTGTTTGTCCCAACTGTCACATGAAATTTTATTAATATTGAAGTTTTTTACCAATTGTGTCACTTTTTAGACTATTATCGTTAATATTTAATTAAAACTTTCTTGTCTGAAAAATATTTTACAGGTATTGTTAACAAGTGTTGGAAAATTTAAATTTAGCGCCTTTGCATTTCCGGATATGCCCGCCATCAGAGGCCACTTTTTTGGTCTCCTTTTCATAACGATTAGATTCCCTCTTTTGTCTTATTGCTCGATGGTTGCTACAAACCATAATGCAGGGAAAAATATAGGAAAAACGAAGTATTGGAAGACGACGCATCTCCTGGCTCAACAATCTGAGAAAGTGGTATAATTGCAGTTCCGTCGACTTGTTCAGAGCTGCAATCTCAAAAGTGAAAATAACTGTGATGATTACCAACCTCCTTAGAGGAGATGGTACCTAAAGAAGAAGAAGAATTATTTGGACCTTTAATTTCTCGTCAAATCCACTGATTGCATGCCATATGTTAACATTAATAAATTAGTTTACCTCTGTAGTAAACCCCGCGGTATTACTTCTGAAGTCCAAAGTAGTTTCCGAACTACTGTTCATTAAACTCGGTGATAATCGAATGTACTGTTTTGTTAACTATAATTTTCGGCTTTAGACTGAAAAACAAACAATACTTTTGCGTATTTTATAGTATAATAGTTACCTGGGTCAGCAGAAATGTCACAGATACCCAACATCCTATGCGGTAACGCTGGTGCTCCGTGTGAAGTAGGTAACCAAGGTGTGTGGGCCGGTTTGAGAAGGTGTTTGGCATCTGGTATTGTAAGCAACTTTGGACTATTTACTGCCCAGTATATTCCGTTTATTATAACCGATGCATATGGTGCAATCTTTTTGCTAAAGGTAGAAACGTACCGTTCGGGATGTTCTTCATATTCGACTGGGTCGAAGCCACCACCGTCAGCGCGTTCCAGGTAGTGACTCCTTCGCACCTAAAAAGTGAAGTTATATAATGTATATATATATATATATATATATATATATATATGTATATATATATATATATATATATATATTTATATATGTGTGTGTATGTGATGATTCTGACGAAACTTACTTCACAGCTGTAAACTTTGTTTAGACTTCCGTGTTCCGCAGCCTTCTTCAAAAACTCTGGTGTAACGTACTCGTGGGGTAATTCTTGGAAGACTTCTTGTGACCCTTGCGATACGTTCCCGGATCCTGTGAATACAAATGTTAAAGGTCCTATGGATTTGGGCATTAGCCCTAGGGATATTTCGTAACCTGCATCCCTAACCGCTTGTCGGGCCATACTGGAATTCCTAAAACCAATTATAAATATTAAATTTGTCTTTTTTAAGAGCCAATAAAATTTTTCGAGCCAATAAAATTTTTCAAGCCAAAAAAATTTCTGGTGTAGGTAGACCACCTTATATCTACCAAAAGAATTTAAACTTGCTTATACGAATATTCCGTTTCTTAGCTTCGAAACCACACACCTCTACTGACAGTATAAAATGCATGCCTTGATGGGACCCAATAAATAGTGCTTATCATGTGACAAGGAGTTTCCATACTCAGATTCCAGAAGGACACCAAATCCCGAAGATAACTTCATAAAAAATGTCCAAAGCTAAACGTAACAGCTGTTATTCACTTTTTAGCCAGAATTTAATATTGAATTTTTTCCCTCACTCTATATTTCCACGATACCTAAATAAGCAAATGATTTAAATATCCTTTTTGAGTTAGTTTGTTAAAAGTGAAGAGTATAAAAAAACAGTCGTTCCTTTTTCGGTACTAAACATGTGTTGTAAGTTACCTATAGTTGTGGGCAGGTCCTATATGCATGAAAGGAGTATGGTGTCCAAGGGCTAACAACCTCAATCCAAGTCCGTGTAAAATATTGATCGTACCAGCGATACCAGCCATTTTACCAAACGCCACCACTCTGTTGCCTTTTTCATCCATAAGTTTCTCATAATCGATCAGTCTGATTCTCTTCTCCAAAATGGCGTCCAACAATGGCAAATTACCTTCTTGAGCTTTGATTGTATGTGAAAATATACAGTAAGTTTTTTCGGGTATTAATTGATCTACTGGGACTTGTTTGACTCCGAATATCACAGATGCTTCAGAAATATCTTCTTGTACAGTTGCTCCTGCATTGAGGTAGGCCGGCATGGGATACGCCCTTCGATTACTAGGCTGGACAATAACTTTTACTCCACGTTTGACCAGCTTCCGGACATGACTGGGAGCAAAGGGTGCTCTTCTTTCCCAAATACTTTGATCCTCCCGTCTAATGGCAATAATTTTTTTCTTCGAAGTAGCCTGTAACATAAATGGATGTTAATATTTACTAATACGGATAAAAATGGAAATGTTCAATGATAATGCAATGTTTGTTAATAGTTTTTTTATCCTCAATTTTATTTAGTATTGTCTATCTTCCGTTTGGAACAATAAATCAAAAGCGTGATAAACAACTTGGTTATGTTTTCATAGGGGCAGTTTTTCATTAACTATTTTACAAATTCTACTACAAAATCTGCTTTGGTTCATCGTGATATTAAATCTAGTAGTTATTTGTAAAATTGTATATGGTTTTAATGTTTTTTCTCTTATTGATGTGTACATTGGGTACATTGGGCTAAAACAATTCATATTTCAATGTATTTTTACTGAAATTTAAAATTTTTTCCTTGATAGAGAAAACTTTTGAACCCCTTTTAAATACATATCTTTCAAGGACTTCATTAGTGATAGAGGTATAGAGGTATATATTAAATATTTTATTTAATAAAGTAATCGAGGAAGAAAAGATTCTTCAAGAATGGTACAATTCCGAAGTAATTTTACTATCGACTACGAGAAAACCAACATCGACAATTACCGACCAATATCCTTACTATCACACCTGTACATATTACTAACAAAAATCATAACCAACTGGCTAACGAATAAGCTCCACTTTCTCCAGTGATATCCACTTTTATGTGGATATCACATAGATAATGAAAATCTGAAGCTCCAAAAAGTTTTGATTTTAACAACTCCAAGCACAGACTTAATATTTTACCACCATGTAAATGTAAAGATTGCTCTAAAAACTTAAGTAAATGCAAAAAAGCTGAGATTTCCTGTATATCTCGATGTAGATGCACGAAAGAAAATTTCTAAAAATAATATTAAATAAATAAGAATAATTTTCTTTTAAGTTATATTTCTGAAATCTTTTTTGTTGTTTTTTTATGTTTATTTCTTATTTTGTACATAAAATTGAAGTAAAAAGTAAATAGAATGAAATGGATCTACTGTATGATGATTCTTCTTCTTTGGGTGCCGTCTTAAATGAAGGTTGGCGATAACCTTAGCAAAATCATTTTTGTCCCTGGCTTTTCTTATTAAAGATTGAGAATCCAAACCAGTCCACTCACGAATGTTCTTCAACCAGGACGCCTGCCGTCTACCAGGACCACGTTTTCCTTCTACCTTCCCCTCTATAAGAAGCTGCAGTAGCTGGTATTTCTCATTTCTGTAAATGTGTCCCAAATATGAGGTTTTCCGTGTTTTCATTATTTTTAAGAGTTCTCTGTCGGTACCCATCTTGTGTAGGACCTGCTCGTTGCTCACATGCGCTGTCCAGGGGACTTTCAGCATCCTTCGAAATAACCACATTTCAAAACTTTTCCAAACGCCTTAGTGAGTTGATTTTGAAGGTCCAGGCCTCCATTCCATATAGTAAGGTGCTATAAACGTAACATTTCAGCATTCGGTATCGGATTTTGAGATTGAGTGTTTCTAGACGTAAACATTTGTTTCATTTTTAAAAAAGACATTTCTTGCTTGTTCAATTCGCGATTTTATTTCTATGTCTGGATCTATATCTTTCGTTATCCAGCACCCTAGATATCGAAATATCTCGACATTTTCGATAATGTTACCATTCACGTTTAAAGCCATGGGTGGATGGATGGATGTTTTGGAGACAATCATTGTTTTTGTTTTCTTGACGTTAATGCTGAGGCCGTATTGTTCTCCGATCGATCTGACGCGATCTAAGAGTGCCTGGAGATCCTGTGCGCTCTCTGCAATTAGGACGGTGTCGTCGGCGTATCGTACATTATTTTAGAACTCTGGCCGTTAATTTTAACACCTTCTCTTGATTGCTCTAGTGCTCGTGCAAAGATTTCTTCCTAATATATATTGAAAAGTAGTGGTGACAATACAACACCCCTGTCGTACACCTCGCTTGATATTGAATATTTCTGTGTCACCGGCTTCTGTTCTAACTAACTGATGATTCATTTATAACAATTATATAACAAAACCCTTATTAACAAACTAATTTACAAATATTTAAAGAAAATTAAAACTTCAAACTTAAGTAATTTATCAATTTTTTTTAAAGTCTATAGTAAGCGGATTAAGAATCGGAAAAGCTTCGAAATAACAAAAAACTTGGGTGGACCCATCAGAATTCTAAAGATCACGGTCCCTAGACTATATCGAGCGGGCTGAATTCAGAAAACATTTTCGTACGTACCATAGACCCCTGCACATCATAAAAACACTAATAGAAAAATGTACAGAGTATACCGTTTCATTTCACATGCTGTTTGTAGATTCTCAAAAATTATTCGACTCTATCGAACTATGGGCTGTGTTAGAATCTCTAAAAAACACACTTATATATTTAACATATACTAACGTAATTAAAACATACATGAAAATGCTTCTTCTTCTTTCTATTCCTCTTCTCCTTCTTCTTCTTTCTTCTTGTATATACGCTTTATAGCTGTTTTCTTCTTCAATATTAGCCTCATAAATTGTTTAAAATGTCGCGCCATCTTTTTCTTGGTCTGTCAATACTTCTTCGTCCATTTGGTGACTTATCTCGTGCTATTCGTACTATTGTATCCTCTGCCGTTCTACTGATGTGTTCGTTCCACTCCTGTTTTCGTTTAGTCACCCGTCCATTTATGACATGAAAATGCAACCATGCAAATAAAGCTGGACGAAAGCATAAAACGAATCCCATAAAACAGCGGGGTGAAATGCATTTGCTTCTTTCTGGACTGGTTCTGGACCAAAGTAGGAATCTATGGAAACTGAGGGGCAGTACAACAAGTAAACCATAATAAATTTCTCAAATGGAAATCACAAAAACTGACAAAGATACACTTGTATCGTCAAACGTGTATTAAAACGTCGCTTAAAACGAGTCCGGCTGACCGCCAAAATCAGAATTCGACCTGATCCTTTCACGATGCAAATAAAAACCCAAATTCTCATTTTTCTCGCGAGGACCCAAGCTATCTTACCCTCAACTCACTCTCTCCAAGTTGCGCAGAACTCACTTTTTAGATGCATCTGGCAGAGACATCTCGCAGAGACATCCTTTTGGATGCTTTTGAATTTGGCTGTGTAAATAAACATTTGGATTTTGTTTATTTTCGTTCGAAGATTTTGAGACGCAATTCAAATGTTTATAAAGAACGAAGTTTTCAAAGATTTGTATGACGCGAATTAAAACCTTATACAGGGTGGGATTAAAGATGCTATAGTAAAACAACAATAATGAGCCAGGACCAGACAAATATAACAATACAGAACCATACTATAAAAAATGTTAAACATTAGGTACTTGGGCGACGTCATCGTACTTTGAAAACCAAATTAGGATACCAAAATTAAAAGAACACAACTAGCAAGGACCGCTTTCAATAAACTAGCATATATATTGAAAAACACCTCCATCCTCATAAAATTAAAGAAAAAGATGCATAATGGTGCAAAAAAAATAACAGGTGGACAGGGAGTATCCTAAAATGGAGACCAAGGGGGAAGACTAGATACATGGGAAGACCCCAAAACAGATGGGTCGATGATATAAGAACAGTGGATTAGATTGGTGAAGAGAGTGAGAGAGGGAGATATAATCAGAGAAGAGATGGAGCAGAGAGAAGAGAGAGAGAGAGAGAGAGAGAGAGATATGTTTTGCTATAGTCATTGACTCGCACTTAAAAATAAAAGTAACGATTTCATGTTCAAGAAAAGACAATTATTTGATGAAATAAAGAAATTGAATTGTAAAAAAAATCAGCCATAAATTATCTTTTTTTTTTCAAGATCAATGTTTTTTAAAGACGTTACCTAATATTTTTCATTAACAAAGATATATGTCAATACCTCTTAAATTCTAATGTTGTACCGATAAGAAATTTTGCTTAAAACAGATATGTCCTTATCAAATTAATATTAGCAACAATTTGTTTATCAACTTCAAGGGGGCAATTCTGTAGTTGTTTGTACATTTCGTGACCTTGGTAATATATTATATTTATAGCAATTTAACAAAGCAGTACTGTTGTCAATCGGGTACGTCAAATTGATTAACCAATGGCATACTTATGAATATACTGTGAGGTAACTACTAATCTAAATATGAAATAAACAACACAGGTTTCGTCATATGATAATAAAATAATCATACAAGCTGTTAAGACTAATAAAATGCTATTTGATTTTGACTTGATCCAATTTGATGAACTGGGGAAAATTTTAATCTTAAGAAAAATTTCCATGAGGTATACGAAAATTTATGTCCTACATTTTTATGTTTTATATATTTCCATACACCTAGCTCTAAGACCACCATATTTTTTACTTTTTTATCCTGTGGATTCTGCGTTCCTGATGTCATATTTTATGATCAATCTAGACATACGGAATGGTATTATCAGGGTAGATCAGTAAATTAAATACAGCTATATTATATGGATGTTATGATTATGAATATATTCAAGAAGATGATGGGAGAATTGAAAGAAAATAAGGAATATAGAGAGAGAGAGATGAGAGTGCTAAAAAAAGAAAATATAAAGAAAAAGCAAGAATTGGAAGAAACAGGAAACAAATTAACCCAGGTTGAGAATAAAGTAGAAATAATTGAAAAACAGATCAGAAATCAGAGTAATTACGGTTCTATCGTTTCTTAAAAAAAAACGTAAAGATTTGTACAAAAGCCCCTAAAAGAGGATCTGGAAATAGAATCTGCAATGAAGCTAAGAAACAATACATGTCTGGTAAAATTAAGGAATATGGCGAAAAAACAAGGTATTGAACGAAAATAGCAAATTTCTGATTCAGATTTCTTATTGGAGAAAAGGTCTTCATCAACGATGACGTGACCGAAAAGGAAAGACACATGAGACAGGAAATTGTAAATAAAGACAAGGAATTAAGATCTAAAGGTAAAAACGTGAACAAAAACTGTGGGTGGCTTAAAATACGAATGGGTCAGAAATGGTACTTTCAAAAGAGAAAAC